AGACAGCCTTACTTAGTGTTTTTTGGGCATTTAATGCAGTAAAAGCGATTTAGTTTCCTCAGTGTAGTCCAGTCCTGTTGTTATTGATCCAAAGCTCAAAAGGTCAAGCAAGGATAGCTATTTTGGCCCATCCTCAGAACAGCTGTATTAGATACACAATGCCCTTTTAAAGTTAACTCCACTGGGATTCTAATACTGTGAATCACAAGAAGCATACTTATTTTAGTTTGAGCTGGTCGAAAGTGATTACATTTATATTATTACAAGTGGTCTATTTCTACCATTGTCCACTTGCTCATGACGCATGCATCACCCTTATACTTCAATAGCATAAAGCCTGGCCCAGTGATTATTCCTGTGGATGTGATATTCTAATAAGGAGTAAACTATTTTTGGTAAAATAATCTTCGAGAACAGTAAAATGTTTGATTATATAAAAACAAACTATATTTCAAGGCATCCCTGGAAACCTGTCTAAATGGCTATGATTTCACTTAAAATACTGGTTTCTTAAAATTGTTTTCTAATATATATAGAGATGTATAGATATAGATATAGATTATATATCTATATATGTATGGATATAGTTATCTATCTATCTATCTATCTATCTATCTATCTATCTATCTATACACATTATATATATAATGCCACTTGAAAGAGTTTCAGTTTTAGTAACTGGGAAGAGCTAACTGAATTCGAGTTAGCAAACACTTAAGAAATGCTGTATATCTCTGCTGTTGAAGGGGATATAAAGGTGAAGACTACATGACAGCTTCCCATTGCGTAGGGAGGTTAAGAGAAATACCAAATATCTATAATGCAGTGCAGTACAGAATCTCTATGAATTTCTATGAGGGTTTTATTAAGACAGAAATTAAATACTGTGGTTAGAAGTTCTTGAGAAAGAGGTAGAACTTGACATAAATCTTTAAGTTTAGGGAGGTTTTTAATCCAAAAGGTGGGCTGTTGGAATTCTGAGTGAAGAAAAATTCAAGCAAAGGTTTAGAGACAGAAAAATGTGTGTTTGGGAAATAGCGAGGGATTCTAGGTTTGACTTGGCTGGATTTTAGGGGAAAGTAGAAGATCTATTGAGAGTTACAGCTGGGCATGCTATGGAGGACTTTGAACCTGGATGCGAAATTCATGCTTAGTTAAACAGCATACAAGAGCCATGAAGTGGTTGAACCTGTGTGCCGTGGTTAGTGCTCTGACTCATGAAAAGTGATGGGGTGCCTGAGGGTACAGCAGGTTGGAGTAGACACTTGGTTGCAAGGAACTCAATTTAGATACCATTTAAATTATAGTCCAATGGAGAGAGAGTAAGGTCAGAATTATGATAAATTTTAAACACTGTTGAAAGATAGAATCAATATGCTTTAGTACCCAAGGATGAGAAAGGTGATAAGTGACTGAGAGTATGAATGAACTGATGGAATGAAGATGTCAAGAGAAAGAACCATATGACACCGAATTAATGGCTAAAAGTTCTTGTTAGGGAATGGGTACTTATTTTTATTTGGAATTTCTGTAAAATGAACAACTATTGCTAGCAGAATAAGAGTCTGGACTTCATTGGCAGATCTGGGGCTAGATGAGAAACTAGTCTGAATTGTTAACTTGGGTTAACTTGTTTGTGTCATTAATCCTGAGCCAATCATTGGATTTCTCTGAATGGAACAACATTTTTATGAATATAAAGGATCTTAACATCCCGCATGGTATTATTCAGAATAATTTTTATATCTGTGTATAAATATATTTAATATCCATATAATTTATGCACTTATATATTTATTCAGACTATATATAAAAATATTCTTATAAACATTGATTTGTATATATATAAACACATGCAATATAAAAATAAAATAAATAGAAACTCCACAATATATAAATATTAGTAATTTTTTCCAAATATTTTTGACTATTACACTGTTAAGTAAATAATATGAGATTTGTATGTAATTATTCATAAGAGCTGGACTTTCTGGCTCTTTCTAGTCTGTCTTAGGACTGTTCGACTTGATTTTTTCCCACAGTTACATTTTTCTTAAGTGATTGAATAACTCCCTCCAAGACCATTTTATGGCATCACTCTTTGGCTTTTCTTTTCTCAGTCATTTTCCATCTTCCAATTTCTCTCCCTTCCTACAAGCCTTACTCTATTCTAGTTGCCCACTCCTTTATCTCTGTCCGGGCTTCTTTTGTATTTACTATGCTTTGCTTTTTTATATCCCCTCTCTCTCACTGGGTGGGGCAGACAGACTCTGATCGCTTCCTTTTGTGTGTTTTCATCGTGGTCCTGACATCTCCTGTAGCTTTAGAAA